TTCATTCTCGAACAAGTATGAGACATTTTTCTGTGCTTAGAGCAATAGCAGGTCATTCATTTTTTGTGTTGCAATTCAGTAGCTGACATAAGAATATTGTATGTGTTATAGGTTCGTTTGTGTCTGGACCGTGAGGATTATGTTCGTGCACAAATACTTTCTAGAAAAATTAGTCCAAGAGTATTTGATGCCGATACATCTAAGGAAAAGAAAAAGCCTAAAGAAGGTGATAATGTTGTTGAAGAGGCCCCTGCAGATATACCCTCTTTGCTGGAGTTGAAGCAGATCTACTATGAGCTAATGATTAGGTAATTGAGTATGTGCTTTATGTTACCCTACTTTTTCGTTCTATCATGATGCAGTTACAAATATTATGTCTTCCCTTGTATATTTGATATCTCTTTCCTTTCTATTTGAGATAAGTCTAATCAAGTAAAAAGTGAAAATTGCTATTTCGTTTGGGCTTCTAGAAACATTGCTGCTAGTCAGTCCAATAGGTGCATTCTAGGTCTCCAAAATAAGGCATATTTGCTATGACTGTTTACCTGCAATATGTGTTCACACTCTCTTAAGATCTCTTGCTTGCATTTGTTCCAGTTTCTTTAAATACAATTTGGATTATCAGTGCATCTAACAATTCATGCATTGTCCTTTTTAATAACTATATCTATGGAACTAACTTTTGTTGACCATTCTAGTGATTTGTTTCAATGGTATTTAAAGATAAAATGCAGATTGGTAAACACGGCCTTCTTTTCTTTTGCAACATGTTTAGATTTTATTCTCTCTGTGATGGTTTGGAAAGGAAAATAATTTGTTGAAGGGTTAAACCAGTCTTGTTACTAAATTTGGTAAGTTGAAATGGAAGAGTATAGAGAAATCACCTGTGTCTCTTTCTGTAAAGAGAACATACACAAATAACTACACGATCCAATTCTGGTGAACTTGAAACTCCAATTCTAGTTAACATGTATTTTTTTTTTTGGTAAACCACATTTCTTCCATAATTTGTGGCATTCTAACTTTACAGCAGTGGTGGCACCTCTTCTACCCTTCTGTTAGAAGTTTAAAATTATTTTATTCCCTTCCTTTTCGTGACATTGCCATGTTTCTGTTTAGCTTGAAATTTATAACTTCTACTTTAATTATGAATGTCTTTATTTTTGGGGTTTTTTTTTATCGAACATTTATGTGTTAAATAATTTATTTATTTTGTACCATAATCTCAAAATAGTGCAACGTTACTCTTTGTGCCCACCATAGTGAATAAGCTAAACTGCCTTTGGGATTCGTAACTGATTTCAGATTCAATTCTGTAACTATCTTTAGCTTATTATCATTTTTAGATAGGATGATCTTTGGAGTGGTGGTAGAGCCATTTAAAACTCCTGAGTGTTTGGTAAAATAACTGAAGTGGAAAAAAAAAATTTCATTAGTGCAATTTGCACGATATGAGATCATTGCCTAGGTTTTTTGTTTTCCCATATTATTAATAACAATTAATATTTTCAAATAGAAAATCAACTAATAAGCTACATGATATTTCATTACCCATTTGCTGTAATTTTGTTGTTAAAAAGTGATATTTTAGACAATCCTAATGAAGTATATTTTCTTAAAATTACTTATCGCCTAGCATATCCAAACACTAAACATTTTTTGTAAAGTATTATAAAAATAATTGATAATTAATTATTAAACTATTCCTTTTCCACAGTTAATTCACAAATTAGAAAAGTACTATAACAATAATTGTAGAGGTTTTCTTAATTATTATAATTTTTTTGAAGCATTGTTCGAGCATTTTTGTTCTAAAACTCAAACAAGTCAGTCCTAAATACAGAAATAAGATGTATTAATCTGTATATTTTACTTAAATTGTTAGGTATGCAATTGTCCCCAAAGTTAACTGTTAGTTAATATTGTGAAAAAAACATATTTTTTCCTCTTTGATAGTGTGTTTTGCACTGAATTAATTTATAATAATGGGCCTACTTTGGCTTCTATGAATTATGTTCGTTTCTCTGATAAATTAACTTTGTAATTCGCATTAATGTTCATAACAATTTTGTGTGATGTTGTGAGTGATCCAAATTCAGTATATCAATGTGCTTTATGTTGGCTGCCAGGGGTTTAAAAGACCATCTTTTATATGGGTTTGGGACGAGCTATGATACCATAGGCAGATTTAATGTGTAATGCTCGGTGCTTTATTTATCAATTATCGTTCATATGAATTAAGATTTTGAATGTGTCTGGTAAATGGCTTGTAAAATTAGACAGTAGTGAAGTGTATGGAATTGCCATAGTTGGGACATTGTACCCGCTAATATATACTTTCAGACTTAAGTAATGTGAAATGATATACCTTAATGCTACTTATGTTTTAACTACTTATTTTATGAAGCTGCTTGTTGATGATATTTCAAAATCTTAGTTTTCTAATGCTGGTTTTGTTTGTATTTAAAGGTATTATTCCCACAATAATGATTATCTTGAGATTTGCCGTTGCTACAAATCAATATATGAGATTCCATCTGTCAAAGAAGACCCTGCAAAGTGGACTCCTGTAAGCTTTCTCCTCATTTTAGTTTATTTTTACCCTTTTTGTTAATGTGAGATGTTTTGTAATGTTATGTTTTTCTTAATATTACTTTGTACATGTAGATCCTAAGGAAAATATGCTGGTACTTGGTTCTAGCACCACATGATCCGATGCAGTCAAGCCTTCTGAATTCCACTCTGGAGGATAAGAATCTATCTGAGATTCCAAGCTTCAAGTATGCCATCCCCAGTTTTATCATGTCTTCCAAGTCATGTTCTTTTATTTTTTTTATGATTTCCTTGTCATTTGGTGTGCCTGTTCATGTATATTTTGTGCCTAGGTTACTTTTGAAACAGCTGATTACCATGGAAGTTATCCAATGGACAACTCTATGGGATACATATAAGAACGATTTTGAGAATGAGAAAGCTTCTGGGGAATCTTTGGGTGAAAAAGCAGCAGAGGATCTGAAGCAACGAATAATTGAACATGTAAATACAAAATAACTGATTGGTCTTGTGTGATATGTTTTATGTTTTGTACTTTTTGCGAGCATTAATACGGAACCTTTTCCTTTCAGAACATTCTTGTTGTTTCAAAATACTACGCAAGAATTACCTTGAAGAGACTTGCAGAGCTTTTGTGTCTCAGTGTACAGGTTTGTGATTCTAGTCGTGGTTGTGCTTTTGAGTCTAGTGTTACCATGGAGATTTTTTTGAATGTTTGTGGTGTTACCTAACCTGCCACTGGATGCTAGTGTTTCAAAGGAAAAATTATGATCTTGGTGTGCTGCTGGAGTGTGTTTACCTCTTGTGGTTTATTTTGTTGCTTACGAATATGGATGCTGTACCAAATTTATTTCATTTTATTAAAATGCTATTTCTTTTAGTGTGATGATTCTAGTTTATACTTCATGCAAAATTCAGGAAGCTGAGAAGCATCTTTCAGATATGGTAGTGTCTAAGGCGCTGGTGGCAAAGATTGATAGGCCAATGGGAATAGTCTGTTTCCAAACCGCAAAGGATAGCAATGATATTCTTAACTCATGGGCAGCAAACCTGGATAAACTTCTTGATCTTGTGGAGAAGAGTTGTCATCAAATACACAAGGAAACCATTGTCCATAAAGCTGTGTTGAAGGTTTAAGAAGATCTATATCAGCAGTTACAATCACAGGTAAGATCCTTTTTTCCCTTCAAAATTATTTTATCGCAGTTTTAAGAAATGGTTGGGACACGGGAGTGAGAGTTTGTATAAGGAAAATGGTAGAATCGTGACTGTTCTCGACTCAGTATGTTTTGCCATAATTCTGGTTTCTGGTAATTGCAGGGCACTCTAATATAGACGTGATTTTGTACTGAAGTTGCATATTTCAGGAATCATTTTAAATCGTCACCGACCGAGTTGGTGAGGAATTTCACAGAACGCGATTCCTTTTTAATTTTATATTTTTGTGGTGCATGCGTTCAGGGTAGAGCTGGATATATGCATATTAGTAAGTAGCAATGTTGTATACTACTGGTTCATACCTCACCATTGCCTGAGACAGGATCCTGAACGATCTTGATTGAAGCAGTGGCTAGAAACTGATTGTTTGCTCATTTATATTCTTTTGCCTGGTTGATTTTTTTCCCTTTTGTACTTTTTTTTAAATTACTTTTTTTGGGTGCAATTTAGACATGATATTCTTGAATGACAATTTGCTAGCTGCGTGCAATGCATCTATTGCTCGAGTACGTAAATTTGGGGATCTTCGAAGGCTACGTCGGTGGATGAGTTTCGGGGGAAGATAGTATTAAACTCCCACTTTGTTGTTTGGATTAGAAAAAGAAGGGGAAAAGTAATTATCAAATTATCATGAAACGATCTAGTCTTTTGGTTAACGGCTCTTTGTTGCAGAATACTTTTTTCTGGTGCTATCACGGATATGAATTTTTTGTAAACGTGTGATGTGGCTTTGCATCATTTCCTCGTTTGGAGAATACATCAGTTATAAATAAATTGAAATTACCCTGCGCAGACGGAAGTCATAATTAAATTGGAAATCTTTTTATAACCTCCATTTTCGTAATTTAGAACCTCTATAGATCGTACACCATATCATTTAGCGGGTTTTAGAAACGTGCGAGTCCAGGTTTCACCTTTTGTATTTTTCTTGTTCTGAAGTTGCTAACCAACTCCGGCATCGCTAATAAAATGTCAACGTGTCGGCGCAATATTTTTGTATGTTATACACAGTTTGACAATGGTTTCGTGTGAGGAGGGTCAAACCTCCGTAAGATGCGTTTTGCTTTCAACGTTGGGAATGCATTGTTTATCAACTTTGATCATATCCTGTTCCAAATTTGTGCATCAAAAAGGTGAAGTTTAGAACGCATGCAAACGACGTTTATTCGTTGACTTTTTACATGGACAATTTCAAACAACTCACTTCAAATTTATTTAAAATAAGTTCTAAAATTTAACACTCGTGTTAAATAAAATTTTGTTGGAAAGGGATATCCCGCAAAAATAGTGACAAGTGAAATTGTTCGTAATTAACGTCCTGAACAAATGAATAAAGAGTATATAGCTAGGAGGAGGAAGGATGGGAGGTCTTAGTGTAATCAGGCGCAGAAGACCATGGGGATAGATGCGTAGCATGAGGGGAAAGTAGAGACGGTTGGGAAGAAGAGATAGTTGAGGAAGAAGAATATGAAGGTGAAGATTGAAGATGAGAAGCCGCCACAGAGAATGATGATGAGACGGCAACCTGATCATAGAGGCTCACGGGAAACTCATGTACATGCGAATAACAATATTCATAAAAGTTGCCGGAATCATGTGAACCCTGAGGTTGAGTGTGAACAATGGGTTCAGTTGTAGACGGAATGGAGAAAAGGGGTGCGGCTGGTGGTGGTTCCGGTGATCGGTGTCTGAGCCTGACATTTTCGGGGAAGTTGAGTTTGGCTTTGTTGCCTCTGAAACGTAAGGAAGCTTCATCGTAGGCTCTGGCTGCATCTTCAGCGGTCTCGAATGTTCCTAACCACACTCTGGTAGCCTTGAATGGGTCCCTTATTTCCGCAGCCCATTTCCCCCATGGCCTCTGCCTCACTCCTCTGTATTTCCTTTTTGGTTCCTCTTCCATTCCCACCTTCTCTGCCCTGTACTCGTAATCGTATACCTTATTCTCCATTTCTCTCCTTTCCTTCCTCATCCTGCTTGAACTTTCGCCAACTCCATCTGTATTCCACACAAATCAAATCCAACGTAAGACATTACAATAAATATATATCTTTTTCCACTTTTCTATCACGTAACGTCCTATCTTGTATAAATTATATTATATTACACATCACTAATAGAAAAAAAAGAAAGAAAAATGGATTTTATTACTCATTTTGGTGCTTACATGTTGAAATAGCAGGGAAAGAAGTTCCACGTGGGAGATCACTTGTATCGTCACCTTCCCTCCTTCTCTTTGGAACAGAGTTTCCACAATAAGATGAACATGCAGAAGATGGTGCGATGGAACCAGAATCCATGTTTGATGTTATAGTAAAACCATCACCACCACCACTTTTATCATTGTTTTGATGAAGAAGCGAGTGATCGTGATCATGTTCCTCTCCGGTGACAACTTGAGTCAAAGCAGAGATCATGGCTGACATCTCCCTCTCCCTATCCAATCCCGAAAACATCATCGGCATTGACAACGAATGATAGTTTCTCGCTTTACCCAAGTAACTCCGGTCACCCTCGTTACCCTGTTCTCTATTATTCGCCATATTTACACTTAAAACTTTACCTCTATGCTTTTAACCCAACCCTTCGCAGCAACCAAAATTTCGAACTGGTCGTGGTAGCAACCAAGACTCGTAAAACAATGGAAGAAATGAAGAACTAACTTATACACGACTGTCTGAAGAAAGAAAAAAGGATCCAAGGAGTTGAAACAGATGGAGGTTGATGGGTTAATTATGGGTCAAAGGGTGAAGGTGTGAAACTGAAAACCCAGTTGCATATGTGTGGAGAGAACCAAGTTGACGGTGCTCAGACTAAAAAAGGTAACAGTAGCGACGGCCGACTTCAAAACACAAAATCTTAATTTATTTATCTTATCCACGGATTGAAAAGTTGTATTTCTATACGATATTATTATTTACACCATCAGATCAAGTTTTCAAATCCAACTTCTCTATTGGATATATACGTACACAATGCCGTACGTTAATCCAAAACCAAACTGGGGACCACCACCGTCCATGGTTTATTCCAGAATATCTAATTTATTTGCTTTATATTAAATTAGATTATTTTATTTCTAATAGAAAATATTCAAGACAACAATATTAGTTAGCTGTTTACATATAATATTAATGATAATAAATTCAAATATATTTAATCTAATGTTTTTCCTTCACTGTCGTAAAAGCGGCAGCTTGCCATTTAATTTATTATTTACATTTTTTACATTAAATGGCGTCATTCCTTCAATCCTATACTTTTACTTCGTAATGCCGCATGGTTGACCAATAATGGAAACTATGTCAGCACAAATAACCCAATGACTGTCGCTTTCTTTATATTATATGCATTGGATATGAAAAAAAAAAAAAGTATAATTATACATTGGTAATTTTTGTATACTATAGTTTCCATGTGAAGTGTTTTATAAATTTGATTTTTTGTCTACTATATTTAAACTCAACCTAAATTAAGAGATTCGAATCTAATAAAAGTCAGCTACTAACTTATTACTTTTGACTTCCTTTTAAAATAGTAGGTTTTAATTTTTAACTTTTACATATTTTATTTTTAATCGCCAACATATTTACATCACCCTTATATGGTAGAAAATTTAAAAAAAAAATGGGATACAAATAAAATTAAGCCAAGCGGTAAAAGTTTTAAAATTTCAAATCGGCAGGGTTTTTAAACTTTTTTTTATCATAGGAGTAAGTGATTAAGAAATAATTAAACAATAATTTGGTATTAAATTTTGCCGACTTAGTAGAGAAAAATTGGTATTTTGCAGCCTTATTTATTTATTGTTGGTGAAAAGTGGATAGAGGTTTGAGAAGATTTGGTCAACGCTTTGTTTTTCGGAAGACATAACGCGTTATCATTTGTCGTGTTGTGAATTCAAACAAACTTTAATGAAATAGAATCGACACGTGGGTCAATTGTCACAGCACACTAGCCTATGTTAGATCAAAGAATGCGACAAATAAAAATAAGATATTTATCTATCAAAATTCCGAATACTGACGTAAAATTTTGACATTCATGAATCTTTTACAGATATTATTTTTTTTTATATTTTTCTATTATTTTAAAAATTACAAAAATTTACTTTTTTATAATGAATATAAACATGTGTTTGTAAAAGAAAATACTTCTTTATTTTCTTTTTCCTGCACCTTCACAATGCTTAACTCCACATCTATAATTTTTAAAATAATCATTTCATCTTTTACAAAAATGGTTTTTGGATAATTTTTGTTCTGAAAATCTTTCACAACAAGTTTTTTAAATTTTTAGAACATAATTTTTAGATTAAATTTTGTTATAAGATTTTCAGGATAAAATTTATAAAATACATAAACGTGTTATAGAATAGAATGAGTTATTTAGAACAAATTTTTTAGAATATATGTGATATATTTTTGAAGATATTTAAAAGGAATAAATACAGTGTAACCAACAAATGTTTAAAAGTAGAACATTGTATCGTGTGTTTTATTTATTTGGTTGCTAAAACAAAGCTATATTTTTACTATAAGATTTATTATTATTATTATTATTATTCTTATTATAATGTAGAGTATTGTTTAATATAGATTATATAAAAGAGGGATGAGAAACCTTGATAACAAAGAAAAAAGCCAAAAGTTTTATTATGAAAAAGAGATAAAAATGAATTTGAAGATGCATAAAGTTTGATGAAAATAAAGAATAGACTTACACGGATAAGAATAAATTTCGGGTGATGTGATATTTTTAACTATTACTGTAATTATTTTTTCTTTCTCACAATAATATTTTACAATTAGATCTCATATACTTATTCGTAGTAATTATATACTCCTAAGATATTTATAAAAAAAATATAATATATACATTCTTAATATAGAATATATTTATCTATTTTTATTGAAAATAATGTCATAAAGTTTATAACTCTTGATTACAGTCCGAAAGGTTATAATTAATTAGATATCAAAATTTTGATTAATACGAATTTAAATTTTGATATTCCCTGTAGAAGTTCCCCATATCTATAGAAGTAATAATTAAATATTTTGAATTATGAAATACTTTTCAATACTAAATAAAGTTTTATATTTTGTGGTAATTGAAATATTTTATTAAAGAAATTAAAATTCAAAACATCATATTGTATTAGCAAAATAAAAAAAAATGAAAGATTGAATAATATGTAATAAAAGTAATGTGAAATAAATGTATTTTGAATTTAATGGGAAGTATGAAATGTTAAAGAGAAAATTGAGATGGTGGTTAAAGTGGAGATAATATTCATACTAATTGTACTTGTAAGTTGTAACAACAACAATAAAAATAATGATATTAAAATGATTATTAGAGTTGAAATAAAATAATTAAATTGACATTTAGAGGCCTATTTGAAAGAAATAAAGTTTAAATCCGATTTATTACTTTTCATAAATATTTTTAGGCTCAACCTAAGATGCATGATAATCTAGTTTGTGAATTTGTTTAAAAATCTGTTATTCAGTTAAACATCTTTCAAATGCCACTATATAATTAGCCTAAGTGTATTAAATAATTATATAATATTTTTTCTATTATTATTATTATGTAATATATGTATGATGAAAGCTTAAATTTAGAACTGACGAGTTGTTATTTTCTGTTAAAAGAAAATGTAACATTATGAAAAAAATCTATATTAGAAGGAAAATACTTCATAAACAAATTAATATGATTTAGAGTTAATTTAGATATCTTTTAGTCATTAAAATTTATACAAGATATGATTTGTATATAGTATTCTTATGAAAGAGTTAGAGCACCTCGTGTTTTTTATTAATTTATTTTTTCTATGAAAGAAATAAAGCTTAAATCTTACATTCCATCTAGTTTAACTTTACCGGTAAAAATCTGGTTTTGATTAAAAACAGAATTCATTTTTAAAATGATTGTAACTTCATTTTTTCAAACGCATTTCATTTTAAATGAAAAACTAAACAGTCAACCATATCACTTGAGTTTTAATTTTAATTATGTAATTACATTAAATATTCGGGGAGATAATATTACCGTCAAAATCATATATTGGACCAAAGATCTTTATTGCTTTTTATATATATATAAATATATTTTTGTTTCTCTTCAACGCATCATTTTGTTTTTTTAAATAAAGTTTATACAAAATTTGTGTATAAGATTGAGAATTGAAGTTTTCAATATTCTGGTTAGGCATCAACCACATATTGTGTCCGACGCCATTTCTTCATTTTTCTCATTTACAAAGTTAGTTCAAGTTAAATCACTTTTCACATTCTTTTTTCTTTTATTTATTTTGAATGGGATCCCAAATATATTATTTGTTAAAAATTATTTAAAACATTTTATTAAATCTTTTATTATACTTTATATAAAAAATTATAAAATTGGTTTATGTCGTCCTCCAATTTTGAATCTTAAAAATTATTGGTTTATACACCACATGAGCTTAAAATAAAATAAAAACTTATAATCATTTATAAAATAAAAACATTTTAATTCAATCATTAAACATTGAACCAACATTAACTTAATCTATTCGATGACGAATCTAATCTAAATATAGAAAGACATCCCACTATCCTAACATTCTTCAACTATTTAACATATAATACAAATGAAACTTAACATCACAACTACTATACAAAGTAAAGATAATTTAGAATGATTGAGATAGTCATGTATGGATTCGACCTTGTATCACAAATGCCAAAGCCTGCGCTGCTAGTAATGCTCTTTCAGAATAACTTGTTGAGGCTTGCACAAAATTAATCAGTAAGAATGCAACTTTAAGTTTGAATGCCCTTAACTTCCACAAGCCAAGCACTCTTCTCTGTTTGTTAGAGAGCACACCATCTGCGCCATCTTGGTATTATCATCCTCTTCCTCAACTGTAGGTTTTTCCTGCATAGACAATAGAAATGGTCAATATCAAATGTATAAACAAAATGAACAAGATTGATGACAATAAATTCTTATTACTTTGAGCAGAGAGGTATCAACTGTGAACTTGATAGCATCAGCTGCTGCACGTGATCGCAGATAATACATCCCAGTCTTCAAACCCTTTCGTTTGAAAGCAAAAGCCAATAAACATCAAACAGTTGGTATAAAAATTCACACAAGAGATCTACTTTCTAGCAAGATAAAGTTAATCTAGTGGTGAATCTGAATTCAAAAGGAAACCCGAGAAATAAACACAGCCATAGGCAGTGTATAGATTTATATATTTAAAATTATCACTTAAAAGTCCAACTGTAAAAGCAAACATAAATCTAACTTAAAAGAACATCACCTAACACAATCCGATAGAGAAATCGTGAACATAATCTAATGAGGCTAGAATTTTAACTCGCTCCAAGATAAAGGTTGATACCTTTGACCAGGCATAGAAATGCAAAGAAGTCAACTTTCCAAAGTTGGGTTGATCCATATGAATATTTAAGCTTTGGCTTTGATCTATGTAACATCCTCTATCAACAGCCATATCAACCAATGTCTTTTGCTTTATCTCCCAAACAGTCCTGACAATTTAAGGCAGAGTTAGCATGAAGTTCTTAAGAGTCATGTTTAGCTAATTTACAAAATAACAATTCCCATACTTGTATATGACTTTTAGGTCATCAGTTATTTCTGGAATTTTCTGAACTGAACCGTCCTCATAGATTATCTTATTCTTGATTGTAGGAGACCAAAGTCCCATTTCAGTCAAGTCATGAAGTAAATGCTTGTTCACTACAACAAACTCACCACTAAAATACAAACAGTTAACACGCAAGATAGATCAACAAGTTATCAAACTACAATAAAATGGCATGGGAGTAAACCTTAGAACTCTGCGACTGTAGATATTAGAAGTATATGGCTCAAAACACTCATTATTGCCAAGAATCTGGCTAGTGGATGCAGTTGGCATAGGGGCAACAAGAAGTGAATTTCTCACACCCGTCTTAGATATCACTTCCCGAAGTTCATCCCAATTCCAACGACTTGAGGGTATCACACCCCACATGTCTGGCTGAAGAATTCCCTGCACATACAAAATCACCTAAGTCACAACATAAAAGAATCTCTGATGTTTAGATTTCTAACTGAAATCCTAAAAATTAAGTTCAATATACATTCACTGCATTATGAATATAACTCAGACAAAAAGGCATGAGTAGAAAAGACTCTCACAACAATATACCTTGCTCATCGGACTCCCACTATATGTTTCATAGGGACCCTCTTTTGCAGCCAATTCACAAGAAGTTTTTAGTGCGTGATAGTATATTGTCTCAAATATATCCTTGTTTAACTGTTGAGCCTGCATCACATAACCATGTAGCCTATCAAATTGAAGAACATCTAGCTTAAGCTGTAAACGAATGTGCAATCCAACTAAAATTATTTACCTCTGGTGAATCAAATGCCATGCCAAGTAGTATGAAAGTATCAGCAAGACCTTGAACTCCAATTCCAATGGGTCTGTGTCGTAAGTTTGATCTTCTAGCATTCTCAATTGGGTAGTAATTAACATCGATTATTTTATTAAGGTTTGTTGTCACCGTTGCAGTAACCTATAATTAGTGGCAACCATCACAAACATAGCCGTATAATGATAATACCAATATAAGTGCATATGTTGAAACATGTTAAAAACATCCAGCATTGTGCATAGTTCGGAAATAACTAGATATTGTACCTCGCCCAATTTGTCAAAGTCAAAGTATCGGTTCTTTGAGCCCCTGCTCCCAACAAGCTTAGATGGATGAGATTCCATGGGCACACCCTTTGGTGATCAGATAAACATTCAAAAACAGAAATAACAGGTTAGCCTAGTCACACAGAAATCAAATATAAGCGAACCTAACACACAAAATAACCCAAGGATTTCCTACCTTCTCTCTTACATATCGTGGTAGAGCAATTGATGCCAAATTGCACACAGCAGTTTCCGTTGGACTTGTATACTCAATTATCTCAGTGCACAAGTTTGATGACTTGATTGTTCCCAGATTCTGTTGATTGCTTTTCCTGTTGCAAGTGTCCTAGGATATTGAAAATGAAAAGATTCAATGAAAAACATATCTAAAATGCGTTAAACTAGAAAGTTAAACAAAGTCAAATAAGCATTTGTAAACCACCTTAAAAAGCATATAAGGGGTTCCAGTTTCAATTTGGGACTTCAAAATTTCAAACCAGAGGCTCTGTGCCTGAACAACCTTCTTTGCTTTTCCCTGTGTACAAATAAATTTGTTAAAATAAAAAGTAGGGAAAAAAATAACCAAGAAGGCATTCAAAACATGCAAAACAAACCAACAACATAGACCAAGCTTACTTCTCTTTCGTACTGAGTGTAGAGTTTCTCAAATTCTTCACCCCAACAATCAGCCAAACCTGGAGATTCATTGGGGCAAAACAAAGACCATTGCCCATTGCTCTGAACTCTTTCCATAAAGAGATCAGGCACCCAAAGAGCATAAAACAAATCTCTAGCACGATGCTCTTCCTACACAGATAGCATTAACACATGGCTATATCAGTATAATAGGACTACTTTTTAACAATCAGGAACTAAAAACTAGGGCCATAACTACATATGATGTGAATTACTACATTTTAGAATCCCTTCAGTCATACCTTTCCATGATTTTTCCTTAAATCCAAGAATTCAAATACATCAGCATGCCATGGCTCCAGGTACACAGCAAATGCACCTACAAGAAGAATGTGACATGGTAAGTAGAGGCAAATAATAAATATTCACTAATGTGTTCTCAATAAAGTATAAACAATATACCTTTCCTTTTGCCTCCCCCTTGATCCACGTAACGAGCAGTATCATTGAACACACGCAGCATTGGAACAATACCATTTGATGTCCCATTTGTGCCACGGATGTAACTGCCTGTGGCACGAATATTGTGAACAGAAACACCAATTCCACCGGCTGATTTGCTAATGATAGCACACTCCTTCAAAGTGTCATATATTCCTTCTATACTATCATCTTTCATGCACACAAGGAAGCAACTACTCAACTGCAAAAGCACATGAGCAGATCCACATAAATGAGAACTAGGATTATCAAATATCACAACGCATGGTTACAAAAAGAGGAAGATTTGGAGATATAGAGCATTAGCATATACTGTACCTGTGGTCTAGGTGTTCCCGCGTTGAAAAGAGTTGGAGATGCATGAGTGAACCACCGTTGAGACATCAGGTGGTAAGTTTTGACAGCAGAATCAATGTCTTCCTTATGAATTCCAACAGCAACCCTCATCAACATGTGTTGTGGTCTTTCCACAACCTTGCCTTGAACCTTTAAGAGGTAGGACCTCTCAAGGGTTTTGAAACCAAAATAATCATAGTCAAAGTCCCTATCATAGATTATTTCACTGTCCAATCGAGCAGCATTCTGAAGCATAACAGAAAACAACACAAAAGTGAAAATCCCGTCATACCAAAACAATAGCCAGACAAAATTTAAAGCACATAACATCAGAAATACAAACCAAATCAGAAAATGCACACAGTATAACAGCCATAATAAGTGATTATACTAAAACACTCAATAGCCTACAACTCATAATTTTGAAACTTGACCCAACTACAACAGCAGATCCATTATACATAAACAGTTAAACAAATAAAACATTCAGACAGACAAGTTTCAAATTCCGAATGGCAACAAACGTATAATTACCTTGATAATAATTTCATAGATGTCATCAGCAATCAGAGGAGCCTTCATTCCAGATCTTTCACTAAAATGATTACGCATGATTTTAATCCTGAAATGTTCAAAATTCAATCACTGTAAAGAACAAATCATCACAACAAAAACACAAAAACAATTCCCGATCACACTTACGTTTCAGAAAATGACTTCTTCGTGTTCTTGTGCAGATTAGAAACGGCAATCCTCGCAGCCAACTGACAAAATCACAAAACACGGATGTCAGCCTTTAGTCAAGGCATAGGAATTACAAAAATCACGATAAAGAAAAGGAAACTGACAGAAGCATAATCAGGGTGGTTAGCAGTCAAGGCAGCAGCGGTTTCCGCAGCCAACTCATCGAGCTGACTGGTCGTGACGCCTTTGTAGACACCAGCGCACACTTTCTGAGACACCAGAACGGGGTCGCAGTGTTCTGTGCTTAAACCGTAACTCAGTTTCTTGAGGCGAGCGGTGATCTTATCAAAATGCACAGCCTCTTGCCTCCCGTCTCTCTTCACCACATACATTTCTTCTACTCTGTTTTTTGTGTTTGTCAGTGGAGAATTTCGTCGAACAGTTTCGACGCAGGCACAAGTGTATAAATAGGATGAGTATAGGGTGATAGTTGTTTGGGTTTTTGATTTGTTTTTACCAAATAATGATGGTTCCCTCTCAAATGTGTTGGATTCGAAATTTTCCCGCGAGAAAGTTGGATTTGGAACTTGAATGAAATGGTGGGAGCTTCACAGCGCGGGTTACGCCTGATGCGGGACCACGTTCTTTTGAAAATAAAGTGGGGAAGCTGTTTTCTTGGACTCATTTCCTTTCCATCTTTTATACACTTCTTCATCCCGCTTATCTATCTACCGAGGACCGTTGGATACTGAAATGCTGTTTCATCAGTGATGAGGGTTAGCGTGGATGGGAAGGTAGAGAATTAATTATCCCTGTTACCATATTTTTATTCTGTCCTGTCTTTTGTTTGGTTATCTTTAGTTTTTTTTATATTTTACCTATATCATTTTATACCTATTTTATTTTTCAATTTTACCTTTTAATAATTTAATTTATATCATTTATACATATTTTGTTTTTTAATTTTACTTTTTGATAAGTAATTATTTTTTAATTTTATACCATTATTTAAAGAGGATTCATGTTCATATTTTATTTTTCAAGCTTGTCTTTTAATAAATAATAATTTTTTAAATTAAAATAAATAATTTATCAGTTTTATTTTTAAGTAATCATTTTTCATTTCATTTAGTTTTTTTTTTCAATTTAGTTATTTTTTAAATTAAAATAATATCTATAATAAAAAATTTACCTATAAAATAAAAAGAAAATATTTTTAAAAATTATTGTTAAAGGGATTATTTTTTTATCTAAACAAGTTTTTTTTAATTTTATCTTATTAATTTTTTTTAATTTAAATAATTACTTAATAAAAATATATTTTTCACTTCTATCCTTTTAATAATTAATTTTTAAATTCAAATAATTAGTCGTAATAAAAAATATTAACATAATAAAAATTTCTTCTAAGAAAAAAAAATTAATTAAATTTTTATAAAAACTATTTTATAGTTTATTAATATTCTTTTAATAATTAACACTTATTTTATAGCTTAGTAATTTTATTATTATAACAACAAATATTCATTAATTTATTATAAAAATTATTTATACTTGATTTTATAATTATAATTTTATTTTTATTATTATAAAAAATAACATATGGCATTTATTATAAAAAATTATTTTGCTTTATTTTTATAATTGTAATCTAATCTTTTATTATTTTAAAAATAACTCATGTGTTTCCTAATGTATATAAAAAAATCAAACTTTTCCATAATTATGTTTTAAAATAATGTGAATATAACGAATTGTTTTCTTATCATTTTCTTGTGGCATAAATTGGTTCCAGTAAAATACATTTAATTGATAGAATATATTTTTCTCATATACTGGTAAAAGTAGATGAGATACATTCTTTTCATACATTTTTTTTATAAACCTTATGGTCATACTAAGCTTTTTGGAGTCACTATTTAGAAAACTCCAACAAATTTAACTCCACGGCGACAATACAGTCATAACATATGAAAATCATTTCTCTGAATAAATTGTAACTCAATAATACTTATTCTTGATTTAATATATAGCATTGACATAGATCATCCAATTTATCAATAATCCACAACTCGGACAATATACATACTCATCGTATACTTAATTATGATTTCAACAATCAACATGATAACACACCATATAGAATCATTCCTCGATAACAACTGAAAAGACATATCACTCTCATTATCATGTTACTAATCACAATAACATTAATTCATCAAATCCATACGCATAGTTTCACACATGCATATCTCATCTTTAGTCACTTCCATGTTAATCCAAGGTAACCATCCAAATAACACACAAGTATTCTCAAATAGTCCACTTTTGTCAAAACATCAATCTTACCAAAGATTATTAACATTGGTTATGTCAAACATTCAACAAAAAACACTCAAAGGTTGACATCTTTTCCAACATCACAATATATACATCACGTACTCATAAATGAACAATTTTTCATTTCAAAATTAAGATTCAACAAATAACATACCAATATATTAGTCTCTTACTTACATATATTCAATTTATGGATAAAGCAATAGTAATCCAACATTTAGTTGTCTATTTTCCATTTAGTCTCTTATGATATACATGATTTATGGACCAAAGACTCATTTAGTTGTTTATTTTCCATTTCAAACTCATTTTGTATGACCACGTGGACAAACTTCTACACATTACCATAATTTTTATTTATCATACTTAACAAGGTATATTTTCTAAACAACAACAGACATTCATGTCCAAGTAACAAGCTCATATCATCATCTTTTCACAAAAATAAAGAGCATGATTTAGCTCCCCTTACCTCTTAATGAAATACTTTGATCCATTCTTTACGAAATATGGACATCACCTCCCTTTTATACCCTTTAAAACCTTCTACACTCACAAAGACAAACCCTCTCTATAAACAATTCTCCTTTCAACTCAATCTAAACACCCTTTCAGAAGCTCTCACAAACTTCTCCATAACTTAAATTCTAACCCTTAAATCTCATTATCTGCTATTAAATTTTTGCTTTATCTTCACTACTTTCACTGCAATGATGAAAAATTTCATTTCACCATTCTGATTTATAGTTGAAATTAGGGTTACTATAGCATTATTACATTTTATTGTAGTGGCATTATAGATGTACTACATCTTTATTGTATCTATACTATATTTTTACTGTTGCAATATTGTAGCAACACGTGTTTCACGAGGTATTTTGCTATATCATTATACATATTTTACTATAGCATTATATGTATTTTATTGCAGCACTTTACAACACTCTAAAAATATCTTAAAAAAATGTAATTATTTTCAAGGGTCTTACACAGACCCTTCAAATTTAAGATAAAATCCTTCTAAAAGGAGAGAGGATGATGACATACTAATAACGACAATTCTTACCATTATCTGAGGTTCATTTTAGAGACAAAATCAACTCCTCTTTAGCTTTTTACTTGCTTAAATCCTCTCTTTTATCTTGTTTTAATGTTATTTATATTTTGGGCTACATTGATGTAATTTAATCTCTAATCCCTTATTTTGTAACTAATAATGTGCTTGGAAGAATCTTCAACAATGTATAGAGCTGAACCAACCATAAGAAGCTAGCATATCTGCAGAAAAAGAGAAAAAGATGCAGTGAAGAAAAATCAGGCCCGAGCCCCCAAGGAAGGGGGTTGAGCGCCAGTCTTTGCGCAAATCTCGCGCCCGGGCGCCCTAAGAAGGGGGCTGAGCGCGACCTTCGCTGATGTGGCAGATTGAGCTTATTTAACCCTAAAACGCGAAGGGGTTTGGGTCTTTGGTGGTTTGGAGGCGCGACTTCACTGTTTGGAGCTCTTGGAGGCTGCGTGAAGCATGTGGGAACATCTCCTTCTCCCCATTGGGTCTCCTTTTTCTTCCATCTTCCATTGTTGTAAACTTGGAGGCTTTCCATGGAAATGGAGAGCCAAGCCCATATTGTTGGGATTAGTTGTAGCCTTTGAATCTTGTGTAATTGTTGAATGATTTGAATATATATATATATATGTGTGTGTGTGTGTGTGTGTATGTGCCTTTTCTATCAATTGCTAGTGTTCTTGTTTATAATCTTAAAGCTTGCATGTAATGGGGACGTTCATGTCTTGATTTTGGGGTTTCATGGGTTATGGGGACATAAGATGGAACCTAGAACTGAAACAAGAGTTCTTATGGTTCATTGATTATAGGGATGGAAGATGATTCACATGTTGTCTTAGATCCTAGTTCTTAATGCGGATTTTGCTTGTTAATTAAACAAGGGATTGATAGTTAATAGGTAAAAGCTAGGCTCTTTCACCTAAGTGATTAGGGCTATAGTAATTTTGTGGATTGACTTTAGTCAATCGATAGATAGGAGATGAAATTGTGCATGCACAAGAGTAGATTGGTGAAACCTAACCTTAGCAATGTCATTTCATATAATTTCTAATCTATTCCATTCTTAAGTGTCTTCAAGCACCAAAGTCCAAACTTGTATAGTTGAAATTTTATCTTCTTTGCACTTGTTTTTCAATTAATGTTGTTCTATTGAGTCTAGATGAGTTGTTAATCGCACAATTCTCTAGTATTACGAGTCTCTTGGGAAAATGATACTTGGTCTTACCATGATTTATTACTTGAAACGATTTGGTGCACTTGTCGAACCCTTTAACACATACCTTTAGCCAAGGAAACTATAACCAAAGTTATGGCTAGGAGGATACAATAGGATTAGACATCTTCTGAGCATGATAAGCTTAAGCTAAAATTCATATGGAGCTAAGAAGGATGTGAATACCTAGTCTAAAAGTCTGTAATAGTAAAAATTAGAGTAGGTTTCATTACAAGCTTTGTATTTTGGGCCCAATAGCATAAGACTTTATTTGGGCCATGTATTTGGGCCTTGATGAGTTTTGGGCCTAAAATGGAGTTTGGAGAGCAAGTTAAGGTTAATGCTTACTCTTGTGCGCATACAAGCATAGAACATGTGACTTGCTTATGTGTCAAGTCACACTTGTGGCATGACTTCTTTCAGCTCTAAAATTCAATTTTCTATACCATTTTTCCCTCCCATTTTTTAGACACCTTGCTCTCATTTTCTCCTATAATTAGAGGTATCTAAACCATGTAAAATCATTCATGAACATAGTAGAGTTATTAAGTTGAGATGACTTCATATTACTCTCCTTTTGCGAGTTAGTCCAAGCTAAAGTTTCCCTTCACAAATTTTTATAACCTCCTTTCTTGATTACTGACTTAACCATACTTGAGAGCTACTCCAAATCATCATCAATGAATCATCTATTTTCCATTCTACTTGCTTTCACGTCTTCATACTTCCAGTGACTCCTCAATTTTCATGCACGTGGAGTTCTAACTTGAAGATGGGCTAATCGCAAACAAATTGAATGAAAGTATAGATAAATATCCAAGAAGTAGAAGTACATAGAATTAAAATTGATTACATCTAACCTTAACACGAGATAGTTCAATTACTCATAAAATATTGCAATTCCAATCCAGCAACATCTAAACAAAAGATTTACAATAAAAACATCTCTCTTGAGCCTCCAACACTGTGTTCATATTCTACTATCACATATTTTATTCTCCATTCAATGCATAAAATAAGGACATGAGGTTTGTATTTATAAACGATATAAGG